AAAATTACATAAAAACATTTTTTGATTAAGTAACAATTATTAAATCACGTTTTCAGCCCAGTGGCAGTTGAATAGAAATTAACCTTAAACAGTTGATATTGATAACAGTCATCATATAGATAATAAAAATGAAAACTAAATACCTAAAATATAAAACCTATAATATTGAATGGTAGAATGTATATATATATATATATATATATATATATATATATATACTACTGTAACGAAACTCTAAATTAAGTGCAAATGGAAAACTTACGTACACTTTATAAATTTCTAAAATTTGATTATATATATATATATATATACACTCGTATATATATATATATATATATATATATATATAATACGTATATAAGCGTATATGTGTGCGTATAAAAGCGTACATTATATTTACATTTACTCCTAATCTAGCCATTATATGGCATCGTGCCTGTGCATTAATTATTACAAAATCGTTTTCATTTTTGGGGATTTATATTTGACTGATTAAAATTCAATCATAAGTGTCTCGCACTGTTTAAATAATTGCTACGCCTCTATATCAATTAGTAATTTAAATATTTAATATATTACTTTATTAAAGGTATAGAATATCATATAATAATAAAAAAATGCTGTTGTATATATCAAGTCGTACTGTCGTAGTATTCCTGGAAAATACTTCAGTAGAGTGCTCTCGAAATCATATTAGTCTATCAATGCTGAAAATATTTTTTTCAATTACATATATTCAAATTTATTTGTATTACATTCATTTGATTAAATGATGGTGTAATGATATATCATTATAGTGACACTAGATTGTTACTTGTTTTTCTATAAATCTTCCGGTATTTGAAAATAATTGAATCCATTGATAAGAATCTAAACTACTTATATGCTAATTTCTACTTAGCATATAGTTTTAAAATTTTAGATTTTTCAAAAATCTCAAATGTTTTTGTTAATTAATTATGAAATATTTTGTATCTAAAACCTAATTAATGCCGATGGGAATCGCAATTTGCCAAAATACTTTTTTTTTTGAAGTCGATCAAAAATATTAATTACTTAATTACGGTGAAACGTTTATGTTTACACATAGCAAATGAGTACAGTTCCCAAATGATACATATCAATTAAATTTAAAAATTATGAAATATGTTTGAGTTTGTGAGGATCTAAAAAAATAACCCTTTCCTGGTGTTTTCAAAAGTATTTAAATAAATTGAAATTAGCTGAGAATCTAACGACAAAGTAAAAAATTAAATACAAAACATAATTATTAAGTAATGTCTCAACCGATTCATTGTCAAATTATAATAGCTCTTTGGTATAATACGTATTAATTTTGCAATGTACGAATGGAAACAGTTAATATCATTGGAAACGGAGAAAAATTATATCACTGTTTATCACAAAGAAACTACTTAACCTATATCATCAATTAATGGACGTTAGTCGAAATCAAAACACATCGATTACTTTTACGAAATAAAGCTTACAGTTAGCAATTTTAATGCAAGTGTATAAGAACCAGGCCGTTAACAAAATAGCATATAAGTCAATATCATATGAGGAAAAAAATTATTTTATTTGATATAAAAATATTTGCTAAGAAAATAGTTCTTCTTGACGTTTTCACGACTTTCAATAAGAAAGAGCATCAAAATGTACCTTGGTAGGTTTAGGTATGCCGCGCAGGTTATCAAATATGCGTCATAAGCAGAACATCTGTACCTTCCGCATCATTAAGAACTTGGTGTCGTCCTTCATTTTTTTTCATCTAAAAGATTGCACGCTAGTTATAAGTATCATTTTGCCTCAAGGCAAATTGCAATAACTTCCCGATATGTGTATATAATCGACTTAATTATTAAGAATTGATGGACTGTAAAAGTTTAAAGAAGTTTATTATTCCGAACTTTAATGAAATTTTGAATCAAATCAGTCGCCGTAGGTTAATAATGAACTTCTTCATAAAAGGTTTCATCAATATGGTGAAAAAATTAACAATTAATTACGAAGAAACGGCACGGCCGATATTTGCCATAACCATAACCATAACCGTAAGTGCAAAGGGTTTTAAAATTACAAAATCGGTTTAGATTTTTCTGCGAATAGGTAGACAAAACACTTTGCACTTTTCAACTAGTCTGAAAAAAAAAACGGCTCAACCGATCGTCTCGCAAAACTTATCAAAGCGAGTAGTTATCGAGTTTCATCAAACTGATATTGGTTCAACAGTATATTGAGAAAACGTAGACGAAACATATATAATTATTTCAATTTTAGTCTCAAACATAAAATTAGCAAGTCGAAATTTCAGGAGAAATCAAACTTTTCCATCGTATTTTAAAAATGCACTAAAAATTGTGCTACCCCAGCTATATAATAATTTTGATTACAAAGAGAGTCATCATAATAGAAAATTTCTTAAAGTCGTTTTTTATTTTTAAAGAAATAGTTTTATAATTTCTCTGATGGAATGATCTGGAAAATAATATATTTTATTATTACGTACTCATTTTCGATTCCTTACCAATATGCATCATATATACCTTTGCAAACAAACTCATGCCCAAAAAAACCTAAGTTAATATGCCTATATATATATATATATATATATATATATATATATATATATATATATATTATATTTAATCTAGTCATCACAGAGAATGAATTTGGTCATATAATCTGATTCATACAGTTGATTTTTTGATAATTGTTAAAAGTATAAAAATAATTTAGCACAAAAACTATTGTGTATGTTATATGTTATTTGTAACAACAAGTTATTAAACAAAAAATACGTATATGACAAAACTCAAATTCCTTACAGACATTTAAAACCTTGGTGAAGCATCATTTAGCATTTACCCAAGAGGCATAAGTAAAATATATTTCATTTGTATTTACAATTTTCATATAATTTTCTTAACAATTCACTAAATAATGGAAAGAAAATGCCTTACAGTCCATTCTTATAAAATTATTTTTTAACTTTGTAATATAAATGGGTTTTAACAAATACTAATAGATACTTATTAAAAATAAGCACACACATAATATATTCACGTATTACATTCATTCACGATTATGCAACCGCAATTTATATAGTATTTATATAGTATAGGCATTTGCACTGCATCAAATATAAAAAAGTCAACAAGCAAATGTTTTTGTTATAGGCACTATGATAAATACAATAATATATATAATATAACAAAACAAACATACATACACACATTCATATTTATTATATATATATATATATATATATATATATATATATATATATATATATATATATATATTAGGGTGGTCCTTAATATGGACATTTTCGAATTTCTTTGCTCCCAAAGTCTCAAATGGTTCCAAATTGATAAAAAACAATTCTCTGGAAGGTTTAGCTCTATGTATATATATATGAATGTTTTCATTATTTCCTTGCTCCAGGAGCTCAAATGCTTCCAAATTGATAAAAAAAAATTCTGTAAGTTTTAGCTCATAATATTAACTCTTCTCATAGTACGCACTCCAACAAAAGTTTCTTGGTTCTTCTTCCTAAGTAAATACTTATTTCATGAACTATATCAAATGTTTGTTCAAATTAAATATATCAAATTCTTGTTGTAAATTTTATATTTATGGTCAAAATAAGCAAATACAGTGTTATTCTTAAAATTTTGATTCACTTGTCGCTAAGTTATAAAACAAATGGAACTTTACCTATGTTATTTTCATAGAAACTTTGGTTGAAGTGCGGACTATTTTTAAGTTTATTAAGAGCTAAAACTTTCAATGATTTTTTTTATCAATTTGAAAGCTTTTGAACCTCTGGGAGCAAGGAAATTTGAAAACGTCCATATTAAGAACCTACCTAACATATATATATATATATATATATATATATATATATATATATATATATTTTGATGAGTTATTTAGATCGGGCAGTAACACCAAGTAAAGAAAGTTACTGCCCGATCTAAATAACTCATCAAAATATATATCAACACCAAACTCACATATTTCAAAATATATATATGTATATATATATATATATATATATATATATATGTGTGTGTGTGTGTGTGTAAGAGTCGAGTTCCAATTTGGACATTACGTCAATAAATATTTAATGGCAATTCATTATTGTATGACACAGACATACTAAAATTAGATAATTATTCGAAGTTTATTAAATAATAAAAATATATTATGAAAAGAGATATGATTTTACGATTACTTCTGCTTATGTTCAATCTTCACAATCAATATCCAAAAATATTATTGCAATTATAGATATAATACTGAATATAGAATAAGCTAAAACTACCCAAAATCATTTGTTATATAAACGTACATAAAACGTTTATTGATGTGATGTCACTTCCAATTATTAGAACTAACAAACTATAACATAATTATATATAATATAAAGTATATATTAAATACTTCAACCTCCTCAAATTACCAAAACTGGAATGGCATAACAAAAATGTAACCACATACGCCGTAGTCTGATACATGCCAACAAATCCTTATTCAAAGACACATTCATAAACATTTCACAAAAATAATTTTCTGTCTATCGACATATTTAAAGCGTTTTCATTCATTCTCAATCACTTTTTCACACATCACATTTTTTAATTATTGTTGTGCATAAAACAACCAAATTATTTTTTATCAATTTAGTATTGTGCTATGACTAGTTATACATATTACGGTTGATCATTCCTATTAATTGTTAGTTTATAGTTTGTTGTATCTTACCGTTTGATCTAGCACTGATTTTATGCATAAACATTATAAAAATATAGCTTTTAAGACGTAGGATATAATATTTCTATTGAATAGAGCTTTTTTCTTGATAACCTATAAAATATTTTAGATAAAACATGTATATATATATATATATATATATATATATCTGTGTGTGTGTGTGTGTGTGTGTGTGTGTGTGTTCATGCATATATATTCATTTCAATTATATATATATTTACTTTTAAGTTCTCGAGTACCCTGCTTGTTTCTCATCAATGTAAAATAATATGTAAGCCGCACTTGAATTCACATCATTTTGATCTATTTGAGATACAATTTGGTCATCAAATTTATACCATCTGCAAAAATATGAATATATATTAAAAATCTATTGAATCTATTATCACTTATTCTTTTGTAGTCAAAATATACTAAATACTTGATCAAATATTTTATGAAAATATATTATTGTTATGATATGATCAATTAACATTTGTGGTGATAAAATAATTACATAAAATTAATTATTGATTGTGAAATTATAAAAATTAGTTTGAATTCAATGTTTTTTTTTTTGCTTTTATCATATTCAAGCTAAAACAATAATAACCTATAGTGAACAATAGAAGTTTAATAATTGCGCTACAGATAGTCAAATCCAATAAATAAGAGTAGTGTAAAATGTGCATCGAGTAAATAAAACTTACTTGTCATACACTTTAGATTTGCAGTAAGCAGTGTAATGACCACTTTCCATTGAACCATAATGATTTGAGACAGCATAAAGATTATATTTAGCATATCTACGAGAAGGTTCTTGAGTTGCAACATGTAGATCAAATAATGGAAAATCTATATAAGTTTGCTTTTTATGATAAACATTAGTTGAAAAACTATCTGCATAAAATCTAAAAACAATACATAATAATAGAATTTTATTGAATTATATTAATGAAAAATTATATAAAATTATATGATTACATTAATTGACAGAGTACACAAAAAATATCACACACACACACATATATATATATATATATATATATATATATAAAACAAAATCTAAACTAGTAGTGTATGGCATCGTGCTTTAAGGCAAATTGCTGCAACTTCCCGTACCGTAACAAAATGTTCGAGAAATATTAAATGTTTTCAAATAGATTATAAATACTGTAACATTAACAAAAAAAATTTGAAAAGAAAAATTGAAAAAAAAAATTAAATGAAAACATTGTTTTGCAAAAGCAATTGTTTTGTCAGCGCAAGCACAAGCATTCAATTCGGATGCTTATTTCTCTCAAAAACTGCCATTTTGTGTACATTTAGCTCTGTATCTTCGAAATGGCTGGGCCTCTGCCAAAAACTAATAAGCCCTTCTCCCAATCATTACTAATTGAATGTTTTTTAGATCATTCAAATCGGGTGCTCCATTCTCTCAAAAAGTCGAATTTTAATTTCTGCACTTTTTGCTCAGTATCTCCGTAACGGCTGGACCTGCATTTGCCAAAAACTAATCAGCACACCTCCCTATCAATAGGAATCGAATGTTTTCTGAACCATTAAAATCGGTTATCCGTGTGCCTGAAAACGTGAACGAAATAATGCGGACACACAAAACACACACACACACATCCATTTTTTCTGAGGTCTGTCGAAATGTTCAGAAACCTTTAATACGTGGAGAAAGGGGCCGTTCAAGTATTACGTAAGCACTATAGGAGGCGGGGGGGTTATTGATTTGCTTATTTTTGTGACATTTTGGTGACAAATTTGCTTACTTTTGCTGACAAAGGGGTAGGCGGGGGGGGGGGTAAATAATTGTACTAAATCTGCTTACGTAATACTTGAACAATCCCAAGTGCAAAAATTTTCATTTTCGATTTTCGGCCCATTTCTATAACTACCCTACGAGAAGTTAACTAGCTGCAAGTGGCATTTTGTCTTAAGACAAGTTGCATAAACTTCCCGACATGTGTAAATAATAATCTTATCCAATAAGACATCCAAAAAATAATTAACTATCAATGACAAAGAAAGGACCCAACCGATCTTTGCCAAAATCTTATAAGCCCGTATCAGTAATTCCCAACCAATAACTTACTAGAATAGATTTAGAATTTTTAAATTCTATTTAGAATTGTGTTCAAGAACGTCAAAAAAAAAAAATTTACACTTTTCTGCTAATTATAAGAAAACTGCTAGGCTGGTGGTCGGGCAAAACTGATAAACACTAGTTCTTATCAAATTGTATCAAATGTCTTTTAAATTTTTGTAATCGTTTTCTTGTGAAGACGTCGACAAAAAGCCAAAAAGTAGCTGACATACACACACACATATTTTATCGAAACTTGGTCTCGCTTTATTCAGAATGAATTGAAACGTTAAGAAAACATAAAATTAACAAATCGGATTTGCGAGAGAACATACTGCTTCAAAAAGTTACAGAATATACTTAACGTTTTACAAAACATAGCGTATTTTCACATATAAAATGATAAAAGCAATAAAAACAACAGTAACAAAATTGGTGGTAATAACGAATTTTTTATTTTATTAAGTAATATTTTTTCTTTCACTATTTTAATTTAACGAATAATTTTAAATAATAATTAATTTCCTGTAGGGTTTTAATAATTCAAAAAACATTTTACTTGTATTGACAAGATGAACAACTGAACCAATGTTTATCCGTTAGACGGCGAGGCGGCGCTTACGTTCTTCGATATTTCGTCTTTATGCAGTTAAAGCAGTACGATTGCTTTGAAAAAAAGTTCAGAACTTCCAAAATATTTCAAAATAAAGAAAACATTTTTTTTCAAAAAGTATTTTTTCCAAAAAAATAAATTTTATTCAAAAATTTATAGTTTCTCAAAAATCTAATCTTTTTAAAAAAAAAAATTTTTCGTACGGATCGTTCTAGCAATTTGCCTTAAGGCACGATGCCATCCGCCCCACTAGTTTGTTTGTCTATTTCATTTAAAATCAATTCCATATCCATAGATTGGAATTGATTTTTATATGGTAAAATGAAAAATGAAGTGTAAAATAGTTTTGCTCTACTATACATTTGATATGCCGTTATTATACGACAGATACAACATTAACGTTCATATTTACAGTACAACTGTGACATCATAAGAGTTTCATGAAAAAAATCCTATAATAAACATGATCAAATAAGTTAATTTTCAGTAAAAGAATATATGAGAAAGAATTTCAGTAAAAGACATCTTGTTTTGCATCATTATCACTAATAATTTATGCTTACCTTTTAAAATGTATCACTAAAATCATCGGTAATCTGGATATATCTAACTTTTTAACGGCTTCACGCTTAGCCTTACATTCTGGACATTTCCATCCACTTATTCTTTCGCCATTTAAATATAGGCTCAAACAGTCCTAAACAATTAAACAAATGTAAATTCATATAATCATTATGATATTTATATAAATGTAAACTTGATATGCTTACAGACAGTGAACACCTATTATTAGTAGGTGGCAACTCCAAACTCAAGTTTGAAAATGTATCAAATGTTACACTTTCTTTAGCACAAACCATGCAGGTAACAGTGGATCTAATTTGACCATAAAATAGCTTAAGTATAATACTTTCTCGATCTTTAACATATTCTTTCCATGCCTGAAAATAAGGAATTTTATTATTGTATTCTTTGCTTTACAATCTAAAAATGATTAAAATTTTAACAAACGTTTAAAAAAAATAATAGATAACCCTCATATGAAAATATTATCTTAATTTAGGCATTTATAAAATAAAATATATATAAATGATTTTATTTAAATTAAACAACTGATTATATATTCCAAGAAAATACTAACCTTTTCTGATGGCGATAGATTATCCAAACTAGACTTTGGTCTACAGGTTTGCAAATCAAAATGTAATAAATCTATCAAAATCATTAAAAATTCATGGGAATCTTGTTGGCCACAGCCTCGAAATAACTTGTTGTATTGTCCTATAGTGTTCTAATTTTAAAAATAATAAAATTATTCTAACATATTAATAATGCTCATCAAGGGATCAATTTAATCTCATATAATACCAAAAGTAATTATAAAGAAATATCAAAACGTAGTTATTAAAGTTACTCGTAAAATAAAATCAAAAATTTGCAATAAAATTATAAACCAATGAGATTCTGTGTTTAGAAGCCATGAACAAAATTCTGCTCTATTCTTAAACTTAAATCATACATTAATTTGTTTTTGTAATAATGCTTTCTAATCGTAGGCAAAAAGATATGATACTTTCTCAATGAATGTAGTGTAAAATACTTAACATTAACTCATACAAAGTTAAGACCAATAAGCCTACTTCCTTGTGTTTCGAAGATATTTGAAAAATTATTACTCCAAAGCATTAAGTCAGAATTGTTGAATCAAAACCTAATTCCAAATCACCAATTCGGCTTTAGAGAACAACACTCAACCATAGAACAGGTACATCGCCTAGTAAATATAATTAACGAATCGTTCCATGCAAAAAAATATTGTTCGGCTGTGTTTTTAGACGTTTTCAGAACCGATATTTTCAATAATAAAATCGTTCCTTGAAAATAGGGAATTTTTCGTCAACATTAACAATGAGGAGTCGAGGAGAACATTTAGATATTGCTACAAAATGGCTTTCTTTATGGAGAATTATGACAAACGGCTCAAAATCTACGCATATCACTTTCACGCTGCGTGCTGGTATATGCCCCACAATTAAGTTAAATGGACAGGAAATCCCAGTAAAAGATAGCGTAAAATATCTCGGAATACACCTAGACACAAAATTGAACTGGAGAGTTCACATTAACAAGAAAAAACAGCAGATTGATGAACTATTCAAAAAACATTACTGGCTACTAAATAAACGTTCCGAACTATCGACGAATAACAAGTTAATTATTTATAAATGTATTTTTAAACCAGTGTGGTCTTATGGGATTCAACTATGGGGCACCGTCAAAAAAAACAATCTACAGATTATTCAGCGAGTGCAGAACAAGATCATAAGCAGGCACTGAATGCACCTAGATACGTTCCCAACTGGCTGATTCACCAGGACAGCAACATAATGACAGTAAATGAAGAAATTCAACAAAAAACAAACAACTACAAAAAAAGAATAGACGAGCACCCAAATTACTTGGCCAACAAAGTATACTCAGAAGCGCGCCCAACAAGACTAAAACGAAAAATTCCAAACGATCTTATAAATTTGTAAATTATTATTATTTTTATTATTATTATTATTATTGTTATTATTATTATTATTATTGTTATTATTATTATTATTATTGTTATTATTATTATTATTATTATTATTATTACTATTATTATTTTTATTATTATTATTATTATTAATATTATCTTACTATTTCTATTATTGTTATTTTGTTATATTTTATTATTTTTCTAGTATTATTTTATTATTCTGAAATTTTATTTATATTATTTATTAATCTTATTTTTATTATTATTTGCTTATATTTTACATTAAATCATATTACGGATATTATTTTTATGTAAATTTTATCCTTTGCTCTTTTATTTATTTAAATTTATATTATTATTTATCAATATTACTTGATGTTAATAAATTAGCAGTTGTAATAATTATTGAAATTAAAAAAAAAAAAAAAAAAATCATACAAAATATTTTTGCTTCCTGGCGAGTAGACATTAATTTTTAAGTTGTTCTTCAATATGATTTTGTCAGTTACTTATAAAACTTTATTGTTATTTTAAAAATTAACGCTCTTTCATATAGAAATAAAAAAATAATTACAAAATAAAATGCCAAACAAAAGAGATATCTAGAAACATATAGATAAAATTAGAATGCTTATTTGTAATGTTGAAATAGCGTTTTTTTTTTTTCGATACATTCATATCAATATAAATAGGATGTATATACCAAATCAACTTTTTTTTAAATTTTTGTCAACCTGCCTGTTTAGAATAATCTCCGAAATGACCGGATCGATTTCAACAGAACTAGTGAATCCATCTATTTAAAATTTTGAGGGTATATTTATACATGCTTTGAAAATACACAGTAAAATTTTTTAAATAAAATATTTAAAATTTATTAATTGAAATGACATGCGATCTCCGGCGGCGTCAAAAAAAGGTCCTCCACTGCTAGAGTGATTGCAGCCTTCTCTGTTGAAAAAACCAAAAAAAAAAAATTCTTGTGGAACTAAAACATATTGTCTGCACGATGACCCTTGCGCGAACAAAAAAACCAAAAATTGACAAAATGACGGCATGTTGAAAAAAAAAGGTTAAATTTTTCCTAAAATTTTGGTCGTTTTTGGGCTGCCAAAATCCAATTTTTGATCATATCAAAAACTGGAGGGTCATCGTATGGAGAACTATATAGAGGAGATGCAAAACAAATTGATAGCGACCGGATTTTTGTCTCCGAGTAACCACCCCAATAAATTAGAAAAATGCTGTTTCGAGAAAAACGCGTTTAAAGATAAAATGATCGTTTTCACTGTTATACTCTTTTAAATGGCTGTAACTCAAAAACTATTTAAGATATTGATTTAAAATGTTTTCTTTAAAGGTATGACCTATCAGAATATGGAAAAAAAATAAAATTCGATTTTTTGAAAATTTCACACTAGGTGTGCCCCTTAAAAAAAATTATCCTTCCTCATCTTATCTTATCCTATCTCATCTAGCTGTTCCCCGCGATTTCATCCGGACGTAATTTAATAAAAAAAGTTAATTGATTTATTTAGTTTTTTTTTGTTTGTCTAATAAGTTCATCATTCTATTCTAAATATTGATAAGTGTTTTTGTTCAGAAATTCAGAAATTTGGTAATGCAATGAATGTACCTTAAACTCTCGAATAGCCACAGCTCTATAGTGTCCAGACCATAAAGATGTGATAACTGTAGCTACTTCTTCAGCAATTCTACCTTTAGTTTCATTACTTCTGTTTAAGTGTTCCCTATAGCTACCATCACAAAAGTAACGAACTAAGTAATTTGTATTACTCAAACATTGAATTATACTGTTCATATAGCAAGTGTTGCCAAGATTTTTTAACCCGCATAAGCCTTTAGCCTGTAATACAAAATTATAATAACATTATATCATGTTTAAAATCTTTAATAGTTTGTTAAATAAAATGTCAAATGGTTACATATTTCTCTATAAATACCATCTGATTGAATATGAGTTTATTAAGCATAACAATGTTTTGTTATCAATGATTGTGCTCACAATATACAAAAGAAAATAATTGCTTACTTAGTAAATTATATAATTTTTTTCTTCATTCAATTTAGTATTTGAAAATATCTTTGAAAGAAAATTTGAATGTTCATGAATCGAAGAGTATGCAAGATTCTTGGAAGTTCCTGATCTATTCATATGATTGTTAAATAATTGTCTGACTTAAAGTAAATAATAACAGATACTCTTAGTAAGTATTTACTAATGAGTACATTGCATTAATAGTTAAAATACATAAAATTAAACATAAAATAATAACAGGTACATCAATATTAATAAATGAGAAAATACATTAGCACAACACAAGACAAAACGAAAATTTTCATCTAAAACAAACAAAAACAAATAAAACCAGACAAAACACTATATGGAGTGCTATAAAACAATGGGCTCCCGAAAAAGATCAAGATGATCAAAGGAGAGTGGTAATTTTAAAAATATTAAGATATTATAAAGAAATTTGAGATGATTGGTTTAGAGAAAGTATGAATGCCAAAATAAATATACATATAAATGAATAATATGAAATGTTGATATGGCATATAATACAATGACATGTAAATAAATACAAACTATGTATAGATATTTTGTATAATCTCTCAAACCAGACACTTCTGCCTGACTGAGATATATAAAATATATATAATTAATAAAATAAATAAATTAAAAAAGTATATTATAAGCAAATAATTAAAATGCTTACCACTCCTATTTCAACATCCCTTTTAACGCTAGTGTCATACTGATGAATGCTCGGTTTTACAGCTCTATCATATTGTGGAATGTTGTTTATGACTTTGGTATCTAGATCCATCTGAAATCATACAACTTAATAAACAAAAAATAACACTTACCAACTTACCATACATAAATAAATAAATTTACATAAAATATTTTCAAATCTTTAAATAACTTTTGTCTAAAACTATATCTATAAACTTTAATATAACAATATAATATAACAACTAACTAGTGATATTCAAAATTTATGAACTCATATTAAAAAAAATACTATTTATAAAAAAGAATAAGATTACCTGTGCCACATTAGGTGTAGATAACGATCTCTTCATTTTTGCATTAGTAGCTGGTTCATCACTCAGGCTTGTAGATGATGTTTCCTAAAGATGTTACAAAATTCTTTGTTCCAGTATTAATATATATATGTATATATATAATATATAATATATATATAATATAATAAGTGTTGAAAAAACTATGAGTGTACATTACTAGAATAATAAATACCACATTTTCTTATTCAAAAAATTCACATAAACTTCCTTTTCTCTCATACAACTGATGATAGTAATTTATACATACCGCATATTTCCTTAGAGATTCTTGTTTCATAGCCTTAGCCTCATCAAGCTTCCTTTGCCTCTCTTTAGCTAAATTTTCACGTTGTTGCTCCAATTTTTGTCGTTCACGTTCTTTCTTTTCAATACGTTTTGCATCTAACTCAAATTGATTATTCTCTTGATCAATTATGGTTTTATCTATCTTATTTTCTAAACTCTCCATTTCTTTGTGTTTGTATTCTTCTAACTGTTTACGTAAAGCTTCATTTTCCATTATCTGAAAAACAGTTTTCAAAATCATATTTAAAAATGTATGATTTTAGATATCTTTTAGATCAAAGAGCACAATATTAGGTAAACTCAATATATAAAAGACTTTGTGTTTAGTTATATAGCCATGAGAAAAATAGTTACTCAAGCAACACATATGAAACCTGTTACTATGCCTCCTTTATACATCAGCAATACCTTGTCTCTTTGAAAGGAATCCATCTGCAATATCTGTTGTTGCAGTATCTGCAATTCTTCTTGTATTGCTAATCTTTTCTCCTCTTCTGCTTCCATTTCTCGAGATTTCCTTAAGGTCTCCCAATAATTTTCTGCATCAAGCCTACTCTTTTCCAAAAGAATAGAATTATCCACAATTTTCTCATGCTCCCTTAACAAATCTGTCTTCTTACGTTTTCGTTCTTCATAAAGTTTTAATGCAGCTGACTAAAATAATATGACACCCATAATAATTTTTGTATTATCATATTATTTGAAACCCTTATAGTGGAATGTATTCTATTTATCTTGTAATCTGATATAATTGTTTTCACCATATCATTAATATAGAGCAAAATTGTATATCCAGTTTAGTTTGATTGGAACCATTTTTAGAATGATTGGATGAGTAAAATACACACATATATAAAAATATAGTAAAAAATACTAGCAACCAATCATAGGTAAAATATTTTATTTTAATGAAGATATTCAATATTAATAAAACAAAATATCTTAATAGATCAGAACACATAATATTATCATTAATATAAACTGCTAAGTAAAACATTGTGTTGGTCAAAAGGGATTGTATCAGATAGACAAAGTATTTTTAAAATAGTTAATAATATTTTGCCAACAACGATAAAAATATAGATTATTTATGATGGCTGCTAATATTTTTAAAATATGTTAGAACATTGTACAAAATGATCAAATATGAACACATGCAATAAGTAGTTACTCTAATGTTATAATTATAATTTAATAAGTTTCTATATTTAACCATTTAACTAGATTAATAAGAAAATTCCCAAACAAAGTATAACTTGCTGGCAGTTACAAATGTCTGTCCCCTACTAAATTTATATAAAAGAAACAATAATTTAAAACACATTGATAAATTTTTTGGTAAATAAAAAAAGCAAAAATAACTTTGGATTTTTGGACACAATCAAATAATGCAAATTTAATCAATTTAATCATTTAATATGATACCAAATTCTTTATGACTACTAGATACCATTTGTCAAAATTATTCTTAACAATAGAATGATACCATATTTGAAAATATTATTGTTGCTTTTAATGCATAATGCATACATTGCAATGCCAACAAAATAATATATACAATTTAAACAACAAACTCATAAAATATAAAACCAATATAATCGTGTACCTTACTATTACGATCAATACTGGGTTTTAAATTTGTTGGCTGTAGATTTGTAATAGTCATATCATTAAATGGATAAGTCACATCAGTGTCTGAAAAAAACATTATTGATAAAGGTAAATAAAACATTAGTAAACAAAAAAAAGAATTTTAATTGCTCACCGAGAATGTCCTTGAAATCCGGACTTGAGGAAATTTGCTCTTTCGGATTTAAGCATAGTGTTGGATACATAACAACAAATTCAGCATAACCGCCTTTAAGAATTACAGGAGCATGTTTGTACTTAGCTTGAGGATCCCACTGTTAATAAACACAGTTTTATTAATAGTTTTATATATTACATTAAAAATACATTTAATATTGCTAATGAACTTCATTAATAATAATCAAGAAAATCTCTATTCTATTCGTAATTATGATCAAACTTGGTTTTATTTCCCTTATGTGATAATAGAAACAAGTATTTCCTTATACATTAGAAAGACAATCTCTAAATTTTAAAAGTAAACTAATAATGATGAATAATTAATTTTGCATTCCTATTTATTAAAACATTTATAAAAATTATACTATAAAGTTTATGTACATGAACTAATGCTGCATGTGTATCACAAAGAGCTTGGCTTAAATTGCCGGGATCTCCTTCTAAGTCTATTAATATAATGTGTTCTTTAGTGCTTCTTGTATCCCACAAAGATAATTCTGTTGGCCCCAAACACAGTACCAATTGATTTGCTGATTTCCTGAAAATTTCATTGTAGCAAAACTTGTATATTAGATGTCCATTCATATTCATTATACATATAGTGAGCAACAAAATTTATTTGAGTTTCATTGAGAAGCAATATAAATTGACATTATTAAATTTATGTAATACTTACCCTGGTGCAATTTCTTCTTTTGGTAAATTTATAATATATTTACTCATGATATGAGAATTTTTATAATCATCAGATTTCCTAGTATCAATTATCAAATATGAGTGTGAATGAGCATTTGCAATTATTTGATATAATTCGGCACATGCTATAAATTTGGGGTTATTGGAACCAGCTTCTAGAAATGAAATATCTTATTACCAACTATACTAAAAAAACATTTCAGCAAGTTATATATATATATATATATATATATATATATATATATATATATATAAAGCGAGAGATTTTTCTTCAGATGGTGAAATAATATGATAAAATTGTTTCTTGGGCATCCATCTAGTAATTAAAAAGCAGTTTTATTGAAAAATGTTTTTATTTAGAGAAACATACGTTTCGGGTCTTGATTTGACCAATCTTCAGTGCATACAAATAAGTTTTAAAAAATAACACAAAAAACACACAAAATTGTACAAAAAAAATTGTAAAATTAAAATAAATAAAATATTTTATTATAAAAAAAGGTTATTCCAAACGAACATGTTGTCAGTTTGAAGACCATGTTACGTGTATGTTGACACACGAAACTGTTTTTTAATTACTGAATGGATGCCCAAGAAACAATTTTATCATATATATATATATATATATATATATATATATATATATATATATATATATATATATGGATATATGTAGATGTATGTATGCTTGTATACTGTAGGTAAATGTTAATTTTAACATCAAACAATTACTATGCTATATAGAAAAAAATTGTGACAAATCATACTTAATTCACATGGTTTACCATGATGCAACATATTTGGGCTTTACAATGTTAGATAAAAATATTGTAAGTTATTTAAGTGCATCAAAAATGGAAATTATTTATTATGTATTTAAAGAAGTAATTTATGTCTAATTGTCTAATTCAAGTTAAAAATTATACTAATGCGCATAGTAATTGTTATAGTAATCACTCTCAATTTAATTCAGAAGCACTGTAATTTGATAAAATAATTATGACACTGCCAGTCAAAACATTTGTCGTTCCACTTTTTTTTTACTAATGATATTAAAATTTACCTTTGCAACTATTTGGTACATGTAAACTTTGAACATCATTCTCTATATCTTCAGATATAGGCTCCTTGTTATTATATTCGGATATTTTTTTCGACTCCTCTTGTTCTTTTAAAATAGTATACCTAAATAAAATATCACTAATCAGCAATTCAATTAAAGAAAATGAATAAAAATGTAACTGTGTTATTTGTTATTGTTGAAAAATTGTGCAACTATTTTTCAAATCCAGTTTTTGTAATAAATTATTTTAGTCAGAGTATGTGATATCAACAGGTGGGCAAAATTTATCAACAAAGCATTTTTTTTATAATAAACAAACACATATTTAAATGACTAATTTTATACATAGAAAACTCAAAATTATTTAATAAAAGATATGTCTGACCACATCAATCGATTGTGAAACTTTTAAATATCTCAGGAAAAACTTTCTACTGAGCATGTTAAAAAGATTGTGGCCAATGCATAATATCAGTCTCATGCATTATAATTATAAATGTGAATTAAAAGCACAGACTCATGTTATTTAATAAAAAGGTTGTTAATCAGTATTAGTACAGGTGAATTTTTTTAATCAATTTAATATTTGATGCATATTAATATTCAAGAAATGAAAATGAAATGATGTAACCAGTTGCAAATTGTTCTATGAAGGTATAGTAATTGTATTAAGGAAAGATTTGCAAAATCCTACAAGACCTTTCTTTAAGACTTTGGCTGAGTTCCTCTGCATAATTCAAAGCATATTGCACTTGCTTTGCGTCAAGTAATCGATTAATGTCAGCCTTATTGTTGTTGTATTCTGTCGAATTACGAATTGTATTAATCAAATTAAGATATTTCATAAAAAATGTATAAGCTTGCTCCTCATCTCCTAGTATATAGTGCTTATATGCCTGATCATATGCTTTATTAGCTGTAGTACATAAACTAAAATAAAATACAAGTTATTTATCAGAATTGAATAAACACAATTCATTAAAAACACGTACAATTTACATTTCTTTTGTTTTAGATTTGGAAAACCGTGCTTTTTGTTCAGCTCGTCCATACATTTTGCCAGGTACAATTCTTTCTTCGGCTCCATTAATTAAACTATTAAATACTGAACATTAACGAGCAATAGTTGTTTCGCAACAACTGACATTTGCGAACAAATTAATGAGGATTTTGACAATCACATCATAGATTAAAATACAGTAAATGTGAGATCGTTAACTCGGCCTTTTGACAGGTCAAAAAATTATACAAGCATGCCGTTGACAGTTCATGGCGCAAGTGGCAGACTGGTCGAGAGCGGCAAATTCGAATCCGTCGAATTAGGATACTATTATTATCAATACTTATTTAATACATACTACTCAATACACGACTTATGTAATATGCCAGCTGGACCTATGTGATTTCGTTTGCATAGAATTTAACATCAACCGATTTGAATGGTTCAAAAAACATTCGATTTGTGCAGAAAATACAAATCGAGTTTTTGAGAGAACGGAGTATCCGATTTGAATGATCTAAAAAACATTCGATTTGTGATGATTGGGAGAAGAGGTGATTAGTTTTTGACAAAGGCAGGTTCAGCCATTTCGAAGATAAATGCTAAATGTGCAAAAAAAACGTCAGTTTTTAAGAGAACTAAGCGTCCGATTTGAATGATTCGAAGAACTTTCTGCTTGTTTTAACAAAATAATTGCTTTTGGAAAAAAAACTTTTTGTTTCAAATTTTTATTTTTCAAAATATTTTTGTTTCAAAATTTATAATCATCTATTTGAAAACATTTAATATTACACGAATATTTCGTTACAGTATGGAAAGTTTCTGCAATTTGCCTTAAAGCACGATGCCATACACCACTAGTTTTATTGATATATTATTCAGGCAATGGTGCCCCTAATAGGTGTCTGGTATAAGAGATTATATTTTATATAATTATTACTTATTACATTTTTGTTAAATTTCACGCGGACGAAATATTGGGTTGTATTCTTTTCTTGTTGCATTAATATATGAAATATTTACAATTTAATTTAATAAAATGTTAATTTATTGTATATACTTATATACCGGCCCAAATATATTACAAATAGGCCCAATTTTATTTAAATCCAAAATTTATAGATGATTGTTGAAATAGTCTTTTTTAAACTAAAGAATAAAAATTAAAATTTTGATACAAATAAATACAAATCGTTAATAAACTATAAACATAAACTGGTTGAAAGTGGCAATTTGTTTTAAAGCAAGTTGCAGTCACTTCTTAATAGGTGTACTAATTGACTTAATCAACCGATATTTAAATAACATTTTCAACTGTTTATTTCAAAAATAAAGTTTTCGCTTTCAATTATCCTTATTAGTTCAACTTATTAAGGAATTAATTAAAAACAAGTTGATTAATTATTTAACACGCGCTTTTTCTCAGAAACCATACAACGTCATTTTCAAAATATTAGCACAACAACCTTTGTAATATTTATCATAAGAAGTGTATCATAGCATATGTTACTTCCTAATGCAAACATAATTCATATAATTGACAATTGCATACACAAGTATAAGTAAAGGGTACAAAGTGATCACTTTAAATATGGTATTTAATTATAAAATTAATAAGAACTCATGTACCTGTAAGAAGTAATCATTATTCGTTGCAATCATTATTAAGAATTTCAACAGGTATCTATTCTGCCGTACTTATATCATTTATAGATTACTCTAATGAATTATTTAATAATTTAATAAATCGCATACCAAGCATGTGTCTACTCACACGTTATTTTTTTATGAATGCTAAGAAGATAAATAATCAAAAATCTAAACATCAACCTTGTTGATGCTCATCATCATTTGTTGAAAATGAATGGATTTATTTAAAATCTATAAGATTCATATGATAGTTGTTTATTATTATTTATATGAACACACTGAATGGTAATTTAATAATAAAGTACATATTTAAAATTTACCTAAAAATATAAAATAATAATTATATCATTGTTCATATTTTCTTTGAATAAAATTTAAGATCATATTTGCAAATTTGTGTAATTAATATACTCTTATGTATCGAACCATAAATATTTGTATTCCACAAAAATTAATTTTCCATGAAAATAATTACATTTTCATTATTAAACAATTTAAACAAACGCAATTAAATCTAGGTCAGTATTCATTTATTATTACTCTAAGTTTTGCAATTTAGCATTTGAAATTCCCATCAATATGCAATCGTTCTGGCTAGAGAGCAAAGTGATGTGCTTCTGAAGGAATCTAAAACTTCATATTCAATAATAAGATTCTATATACTACAACGCAAAACCTGATCAAGGATACAATTAAATGAACAGAGTTATATATTAGATTATCTTTTACTTGCTCATGAACCTACATTTTTTTGTGGATCAATACTCCATAATAAATAAATTCACATATTAGACGCTCAAAAAAAAAACACTGATCGTAGTCATAATAAAATTATCAAAATTTTCTTTTATTCTTTCATTTTGTACATAATTTTTTATATGTAAGTTTGCACTATTTTATGAATATTCTTTATTAGCTATCACAGTATTTGAACAGTTAGTACTAATCTCTAGTAAAATATTAAAACTTATTAATTTTAAACCGAGCTCTATGACACAATAATATAAAGAATTTAACAAAGTTTGAACTTCTTGTTCAAATAACACAAAACCATAAAATTAACAGTATTTATAATATAAAATTTTAACAAATAATGTATAAAGTTCAGCACCACAAAGTAGTTAATGAAGCATAAAGTATATATATATATATATATATATATATATATATATATACATAAATATATACATATATATATACACACATACATATATACACAGGTAACCTCAGTATAACATGATATTTCTGTAACACGGTTCGAGAATCTTACAAAATACAAAATATAGTAAAACCTATTAAAAACAAACTTTATCTTATTTTAGAATTAGTAAAATCACCATAACTTAATTAATGTGCTAAAACTAGTACTAAAGATATTTATATATATATATATATCTCATTTGACATTTTTCTTTCGAGCGAGTACGTATATAGGAAGAAAAGCCTAGGCCTCCCCAAACAGAATGATATTTCTTAAATAAATATTCTTCAAACGAAATGATCACAAACTTTTAGTAAAAAAATTTTGTGCATGTGCATCAATAATAAAATAAATAAAAAACTTATCACGGAAAGCAAGAAATTGCAAAAAGTGAGCGTGGAACTAGTACAAAAAAATGCTCACAAAAAGATAGGATGTCTTGCCGAAAGAAAAACGCTCATATTATATAGCATTAATTTATAAAACTTCTTAAAAAAAATTAATAAATATATTTAACCTTATTATGAAATTATAATATGTAACATATTTTTTTGTACTCATCTTTTGTTTCATATAACAGAGATTTGCATAACACAATAGTTTTTTGTAATGTAAACCCCATGATATATTGGGTCACCTGCATTTTCATATATATATATATATATATATATATATATATATATATATATATATATATATATATATACATATATATATATAGTGTGTGTGTGTATATACATATATATATATATATATATAATATAGTGTGTGTGTGTGTGTTAACCTATTCGAGAACGATTGCACACCATGTGTGCAATTGCTTTTCGAGGTTATAAGACCGGTTGCACACCGTGTGTGCAATAATAATAATGAGCTATTATCAGTTATTCTGAGTAAAATAGTCGTCGAGATAAGATTTTTTTTAAATTAATAGTATCTTTAAAGTATAGGAAAACAAAATTTGGCATTGGTTTTATTGCGTACCAAAACATTTTATTTGGAATTTCGAAACTTACATTTTAAGAAAATATCAATGTAAGAACCCATATTTATCTAATTCTATTTTGCAAATTTATCACCAACAGCAATAGTATCGCCTTCTATATATACCGCCTAAACGAACTATGTAAGAAAATTTTTTTCCTGTTTATATTATTTTCTTCATTATTCAACTTATTTTTTTTACTATTTCTTAAAAATTTACTTCGCATTATATTCCATTTTTCATAATTAAAAGCAACATAATGATTTTATATTATCTAATCATTTTTAAAATAAATGTTCAATTTTAATGACGTATTTTTATTTTACCTTACATTGCACACATGGAATTCAAACCGCTCCTCGCAATAAAAATTTTCTGAGGAGCGATTTGTACACATGGTGTGCAATCATCCTTTTTATATAAATTTGCTAAGAATTGGGTGATTTCCGTAGTAAACAAGTTTTTTTTTTATTGAAAATGAACAATATAAACAGAAAAAAAAATCGCTTATGGAGACCGCGTTTGAAAAAAATCGCAGTCTCGAATGAGTTAAGGTAGTAAATTTTAATGTTGAGGTATATAAGTAGGTTCTTCAAGAGCAATACATCAAATAAAAAACAAAAATTTAAAAGATAATCTTTGCTTTTTTCAAACGTTACCGACATAGGATTTTATGTCATCATCACTGGGTCTACAAGTGTTAA